TAAAAATATTTTTAAAACTGCTTTAGATATGTAATTGCGTTTTCAAATTATACAAAATCTACAATTTATTAATGTATATTTTATTCATGTATATTTAATAATTGATACGCATTATTTGCACGATAAAAGTGTATTAAAAAACTTAATATATTCGGTTTTCAAATTTAATATTCTCTATTTAACTCTTTCTAAAGATATAACTATATTATTTTACTTAAAGCAAAGGTCTTATAGACATTAATAATATAAACTGTTGTGCTATTAATTTATAAGTTTGAAATCAATAAAAATTGAAGACTACCAAACAATTGTTTTTGTTGAATTCGTGATTAGCAAGTCTGCATTATCAATTTTTGTACAAACTAACTTTTTAAACATTCCGCCTTTTAAAGCGTGATTGCGGAAAGTAATCGATAATTGCTGAATAACAAAGTAACAGCTGGCAATCAATCGACAAATTAATTGTCAAGGTATGTCTTATTTAAATTTTAAACTACTTTGATGAGTAAAATAATAGATTCATAAATTTATTACACATGTATTTATTTTTTTAACGTAAGAATTTCATTTGCAGCAAAGCTCATATAGAAGTAAACTACAGCACGCCACAAGTAGCTATTACTGCAGCCCTGGTTAGGCGCGTCGATTTATTTTGCCCAACTTACAATTCTGCATTTTATCACTAACCAGTGGTTTTGTTTACCAAAGCCAAAGTTACAAATTACTCAAAGATAGCATGGAAATTGTAAAACGGACGTTTTTACGTGCTTGTATAAATCACAGCTGCCTTGATCATGATCAAATCGACAAGATATTAACACCGCTCTGTGATCAGCATCAAGTGACAAAACCCGCGAATCAGGAGGCTCTGCACGAATTCGCAAAAAGCATCGAAAATACGATAAAGGATCTTAATCAATCGCTGACCTTTATGGTTCATCCTGTAACTGGCAAGGAGTATTTGGTGTTTACCATCACTGATGCAACTCCTGATAAACAGAGTCATCCCGGTCTGACGGCAGAAGAATGTTTCTATTTTTCCATTCTATTGGAAAAACTTGCCCAGCAAGATGACTGCCACATAGCCTGGAACGAGGCGTACTCTGACTTAGATTTCAAGGGCTCAACGAAGCCGCCCAAGAAGCTGCGCATGCAAACGCTGCTCCAACTGTGGACCGAAATGGGTTACTTCCTGGAGTCAGGCGACAGACTCTATCTGGGTCCACGCAGCATCGTCGAGTTCGAGTTTTATTTGCGCTCCAACTTTGCGGACACGATCAAGGAATGTGCCCTATGCAAACAGCTGGTGCTCTGGGACGTCAAATGCACAGATTGTAACACTAAAATCCACAGACTTTGCATACGAAAGTATTTACGTACCCGCTCCAACTGCCCAACCTGTGGCAACAAGTGGTCCACGCGTCTAAGTCAATAAGCAATAAAATATTTAGCAAATATTTAGCTTAAGCTGAGAATATTTTAAAACACTTGTAGAGATTTTTATACCCTGAACCCATTGAAAATGGGAAATCAGGGTATAATGGTTTTG